GATGTGTAAAGTATTATTGAAAAAATTATAAATGATATAAAAGTAAAAAATGGTTATAAACTGCACTGTAAAAAAATTAAGTTAAAAAATATTACAAAAATTACTTTATTTCAATAAATTTTCATTAAAAAAACCTAATATAACACACTAACTTTAGTGAGGAATGAAGACTGTTTTTTAAAGGATGGATAGTGGAACTTGAAGTAAGTTGTTTAAAGAAGTAAATTTTTATCTTATAAATTAAAAAAATTTATTGGAAAATTTTAAAAATTAACTTTTACAATGACTTTTAAATAAGTTTTAAAATCTCAACTGTTTGATTTATTAATAAGTAACTATCATTTTATAGATTAGATAGGTTTAGAATTCAAAGTTTTGCATCAACATCCAAGGAAATTATAGGTAATTTCTTTAAATGCTCTAAGTTGACATAAGAGTGCACTCTTAAGATCACTAAAGGTGGGTATTGGGTATGGATATATTTGTTACTTACAAATACTTTACCCATTTGAATAAATGTCATACCTGAACTATAGAAAAAATAGGTAAGTAATGAATATGAAAATAGCATATTTGTAAATATCAAATCAAATAACAAATATATATGAGTTCAGAACTATTTACTAACCTATTTAATTGTCTTTTTTAATTGATATATTACTTATGCTTATATAATTGAAATTTTATATGTATTTATTATTTTTAATATCTATATAATAATAATTTTTAAAAATAAAAAATATAAAAATATAAATAAAAGTTAAGTTAAAATCTATAAGCCAAACAAATCACATTTATAATTATAACAATTTATATAAATAATGAACCCTAAGCCAAGTTTATAATATAAGTAACAATAGCATTTTCATATTAGACATTTTCCTTTCCTAAACTAAGTACATAAGTATCTATGTGCAAATTACTCTTAGGTTAAATATTAAGTATAGGTTTTTTAGTATTTGATTAGGTACAAGTCTAAAAAGCTATACCCAAAAATTTTCAAGTCAAGTATATGGCAATTTCCTCCAAGACTTACGAAGCTCCATGGAGATCCCTGCCCTACAGAGGAATATTCTTAAAATTTCCATCCCAACCTAGATATGCATGGCAATTCATGCATTTTTTTTATGAAATTGTTGCCGAACCTGTTGGACGTATATGGCAATGTGTATTTGTTGCAACTAATTACTACATATTGCTTTACTGCACTATATGTTAATATATTTATTTGTTTGAATTGTTTTAAAATTTTATTTTTTTTATTTATCAAGAAAAGAATAACCTTAAATTCTATATATTTAATAATGGTAGGGACTCTGCATACTTGCGATAACCTATCATTCCTCACAGGTATGGAGACGGAGATCATTGTTTACCCTCACCAAAAATCCACATGAGGATCCTCGTACCTGGCATTGGTAAGGAGGGAAATGGAGAAGGGGTTCCCACCCCATGAGGACCCCTTGTCATCCTATATAACAATAACAACTCATATAAATAATGAACCCTAAGCCAATTGTATAACATAAGTAACAATAGCATCTCATATTAGGCATTTTCTTTTCCTAAACTAAGTACATAATTATCTATCCACAAATTACCCTTAGATTAAATACTAAGTATAGGTTTTTCAGTATTTGGTTAGGTACAAATCTAAAAAGCTATATCCAGAAATTTACAAGTTAAGTATGAAATATATATACCTCATACCCAACCTGTATTGAAAATACTCACCTCTAAATATTGCTAGGGAAATAACTAATCTTGAGGTTTGCAAAATCTAACCCAAGAACACCTGACCATAAAATATCCAAAAAATAAGTTTTAAAAAGCTTTTAGTCTTTTTTTCATAATATTTTATTGAAACAAAATAGTTTTAGATTGTTTTTTTATGCTTAATTTTTTACAAGTTTGGCTAAAAAATACTAAACTTATTTAAAAAATTAACGTGTAGCTTTTAAAATAAAACTTTGTTAAAATTATTAACTTTTTATTTTTGGTAAAAAAATTAACAGTAAAAAAGTTGAAAAAAGTTGATAGGTAATTTTTAATTAAAATGATATAATTATAATATCATATGATATTATAAATTTATAATTATAATATATTATTATATAATTAATTATTTTTACTTAAGAGTTTATATGTAATATTATATATATTTACTTATATAATGACATGTGATGAAAATTTATAATTTTAGTTGGTAAAACAAATGTAGCATTACTGAATTATTAACGAAGAAAGTTTGGGGAAAAGGTTTTTAACCTCCCAAATAGCAAAATCAGCTCGTGGCAGCTGTATGAAAGACAAAACTGAGATGAAAATCTTTATAGAAAATCTAATCATGTAATTATATTGTTTGGTCTTTTTTATTTAAAAACTCATTTATAATATTGTATATATTTATACATTTAAAATAGGTTAAAATTTTAAGTCTTACAATCCCATAAGGCACAATATTTTAAGTGGATTATAAATGAAAAAAATCAATATACAATAATTATAAACTTATAATATTACGAAATGCAGGAACTATATTATTATTATAAAATTAAAATCTAACTCTACTTTTTCATTGAGAGGAATGAGAGATGAGAGAAGAAAATTTTGTTTAATTAAACGAAGGAAAGCAGACCAAACCTTAATTTAATTTTAAAAAATTGTTTGATTTCCGTCCCTTTTCCCACATCTCCCTTATCCATATAAGAGTGTTTTAAGATATGTTTAAATAAAAGTTAGAAAAAGAAAGGAAAGGAAAGGAAATGGTGGAGAAAAGAGAGGGAAAGAGAAGAGAAAAAAGGAGAGTAAAGGACTCATGCCGTGGAAATCGGGAGCTTCAGGTGGGCTATTTTTGGTAGTAGAACTATGTGATTAACTTTATTTGAATAAATTAAGAAAACGAAGGAGAAAGGAGGGTAATATTACATATTTTTTATTTAATTAAATAAATTAATTATAAAATTAATTAAATTTTTATAATTTTATATATTAAAATAAAGTTAAAATAACACTTAAATCTTGTGATTCAATAATTATATGTATCGTTATAAAGGTATGCTTTCAATTTTAGGATTGGAGTTGGAATTTTTTATCTCCAATTGTAATTCATTAGAAAAAAAGTTAAAATAAAAATCTTAGTTACATTTTTTTTAGAACAAAAAAAAAAATAAATCAAATCCTTCTAAATTCTCTCAAATTAAAGAGATTAAAAATAAGAGATTTTAAGGTGTTCATCACCCTTTCATCTCTCTTCCCCTTATCCAAACAAAAGAGCTCATGCTCCTCCCATTTCCCTCAACTCCCTCGATCCAAACAAAGTGTTAGGCGCAATTCGACCAAACAAAGTGTTAGGCGCAATTCGACCGCACGGGAAGCACAGATGGCCTTGTCCAGGATTTTTGCTGCTGGTTATTAAACCGTCTATGACTTTGAAAGCAACCCACTCTCGATAATGGGGGTACTGCAGGCTTGAGATTAAAATTTAGTCCAATGATGGAAATTCTCAAGAGTATGCTGTAGCGAAATGCAAAACAATTAATGGTGGAGTGGACCCAACAGAGTGAGTTTCCAATATCTAGCGAGCGCTCTTGGTTAAGTGAAGTTTGGTCTGCCTCACTTTCTTGAATTCTTAATTAAGAATAAAGATGAATAGAAGCTAATCCTTCTGATAAACATGCACAGGAAGTAGTACATCTGCAGTTTTTATGTGTGCCACCAATTATTAGTTCACTTCACCATAATTAACTCTTAAAGGAGAAAACAGTTCATTGTTTGTGACAAGCATTTGAAACTAAACAGCAAACTAACAGCCAAGGATGACTTCCCAATGGAACATAGCAGCTGTATTTTCCAAGTTTGAGCCCCAAATACAGACTGCCCAGACAGATTCATTCTTAATCCTGTCTATTGATGGAGAGCAGGAGGGCTGAATGATGATGCAGGTTTCCACCACCATCACGCATATTGCCTGAGAGACCTTGCATGGTCATGCCAATGTGAGAAGGATAGCCAGAGAACCTGAAATCCTGATGCTGGTGGAAGATGTTATCACTGTTGGAAGCACTGGTGATATTGGAGCAAGAGGCAGTTGAAACAGCATCTCCGTAGTTTTCTGGTCGATGAAGCTCTGATTCTGACATGCTTCCAGCCAAACGTAACTGTGCTGAGCCAGAAACATCCAATCCATGGCTTGTCTGATTGGATTCTTGGAGCTTTTTCGTGTTGAGAAATCTTCCACCAGCTCCTCTGGCCCTCTTTAAAGCATGAAGATGGCGAGACTCATGTAGATATGGCTGCAAAAAATATACAATAGCAATCCATTAATCCCCAAAACTATGCCTCCACAGTATTACACGGTGCATTTCAGGTCCAGAAAAAGGCCAAAACAGGAGGCACATACCTTTCGGTTTTTGATGAGTTTTTTTTGAGCCTCAAGCTTGGCCCGATACTGTCTTCTCCTGAGAATAGCTCGATACTGCTTCGCATTAACATAAATGGGTTCCTCTTCTGGAAGATCCAGAGGCAGTGGGACTCGAGCAGGAAACATTGCCATCATATGAGGATGATGAATCTGCTGGCAATCCAACGTTAGATACTTCATGAATGAGTAGCAGAGAGAACACATTTTTGTCTGGTCATTAACTGGAAGTGTTGTGGTTTAAATAAATTTTCGGAGCATAGATTGATCTACTAAGGTCAAAAATCAGAATCCAAATCAAAAACCACTTCCATAACAGGGTTGAAACTGGAAACCATAAATAGATTCAAAATTGGATCTTCAGGACCACTTTGATCTTAGACAGTTGACAAGAATAACATCTCTTAGCCATTTGCATCTTTCATACTTCAGAGAGCAATAGCGGTTCATATTATTAAGGCTTAACAAATTTAAGAAGAGAAAAAATTCCCTTTATTAATAAGGAATCATTAAGAAAAGAAAAGCAGAGGAGAATATGAACAAAGAAAGATGCAAAGCTATATAGGAAGAAAAATATATAATATGTAGGCATAATACTTCATATACCTCCTTTTAGGAAATTGAAGAATCCATGAGGCAAGCATAATATTTTGTATAACATTTTTTCAAAGTAAGAATGCATCATGCCTAGGAACTTAGGAAGGTGCTGCTTGACAAAACGGGTGGTCTAGACTCTAGAGCCTATATACTACTATATTTTGCAGTTTTAAACTAAATCACCACAGGCATGATGCATGATTAGTTTGTATACACAGAAAATGTGCTTTAAATTTTCTTTTCAAATTCCATTTCAACAACATCATAGTTGCATAAGTCTTTTAGTCACCTAACTTGAGTTTGGAGAAACAGAAAGAGACATCTTCAGATCCTCGTTTTCCATAATTTAAGATCATAATAATAGAGGCCTTTCTTTTTTCTTTTCTTTTTATTTTTTATTTTTTATTTCTCTCTGCTTTGATTTTGAACTGCAATACCCAGATAAAGAAATGGGATAGTGAGCAAAAATTATTTACCATGGTTTGCAATCCATAACCAGCAGCAATCATACCACCAAAATATGGTTCAGCATAGGGTAATGAAATACGGGCCTACAGTAATACCAAAGATATATGATTATGATATATAAGATTGGTATCCACTCCCCAAAGCTATCAAACTATATCAGTGACAGTAACAACTTACTGGCTGGCTACAATCGACTTGCGGAGGAGGAACAACAAAGTCCTGAGTTACAATTGACGAAGCCAATTTAGTTTGAGCCACAGCAATCTTCCCATGAGTTTCATTATATCCTGAGAATGCATACAAATAACTAAGCAGATAAAAATATTTGGACAGGTAATATTTTGTTAAAGTAAATTTTTTCATGGCCGTAGAAGCAAGTTAGTTGAACAATAAACCTTTTCTTCTTTCTCTCATGACGCCAGCCAACAGAACATATAAACACAAATAATTGAAATCAAGGAACCAAAAATTTTCCAGAAACATCCAAAGCCACAGGCATAAATACTTCCCAAGCACAACAATTTAAAAATATATTTCAAAAGGAAGGGACAACCGACCAGATTTGATTCACATCCCAGACCACACACCAAAAGGCACATGCAAATAAGGAATATTTGAAATTAATCAGCTGACCTGACAGTGCTGGAATGTCACTTTGCCCATGAGGATTGCCATCTGCAAAGCTAACCACTTTTGGGTAAGATTGACCAGTTGATTGAGTTGACATCGAGTCCTGGTCTTGAAATTGGAAACTTAACCTTTTGTTGTTCTGAAACTGTTGGTGCAGAGCTCCCATCTTCAAGCTTCGATTTCCAGATGATTGTTGGACATAAGATTCAGTTGAGTTCTCCCATGATGAGCAACTAACAACATTCGTGATAGTTGATTGGGGAGCAGAACTTAAGCCTGACTCTTTCTTATCCAAGTTGTTCATTGAGGTAGACTAGTGCTCAAAGTGTCCAGAATTATGATGAGAACTAGATTTTCAAAATTGTAAACACGACAATCCTTTCTTTGGAAAATTTTTGCTTCTCTTCTATGCAAAGTAGTTGTTCATCAACAACACAGCATCAGGTGCTATGCTACAATGACATTAAACATTTCATTATAGACAACAGGATGAAATAAATGCAGCAACTTTTTCACCAAACATAGCAAAGTTGCTACTGTGAATGAAGTAACCCTATCTGGTACAGAGGAAATATGAGAAAGAAAGTTGACTTCTTAATAGCAAACACACTAAGCTAGTTAATTTCAATGAAAACTATTTTCCCCAATCAAATTATACCACGCATCCTCTTCTCTGCCTCTCCCCCTGCCAGTTATCCCCCACCAAAAGTATAAAATTCAGCACAGTATCAATGTGGTACATAATCCAAATGTCATCAAGATGCAGAATGGAATCCTGCCCTCTGAAGAAAGGAATTGCATAAATATTTATCCAACTGGTTAACTAGATTAGCCCAAAACCAAGAATGCTCTCCCACATTACGCAAACCATCAACCCAAGTTTTATTTGCACATACCATCAATCCAAACATCCAATTCACTAAGATACACCTTCTAACTGCAATTCTGGTCAGATCATAATACATCCATGCAGACATAGTATTCCATCAATATAAAACAAAGAGAAGAAAAATTAATAAATAGAAGCCAATCAATTTCCTAAATGCTTGTTTTCTTCAATAAAACCAACCCCACTTTCTCCCCAGGTGGCCGTTCTATGGACGAGAAGGTAGGCGCTATGTTGATGATAAAAGTAGTAGATTTACCGAAATGACTACAGTAACAGAGGGGAAAAAGAAAGGCTAATCCACTTTCATCATTCAAGGTAAAATGGCAATTGAAACAAAGATAAGTTAGCAAATATAGCAAGTATCGTTAGTCATCCAAACTTCAAAGCCCAAATTGGAGAAACATAGAAATTAAAAAGACTAACTTATATAGAAACTAACTTAATTCAACATGAGAGACTTTAATATGTGAATCATCTACCAAAAGAAAAGGAGTTCCCTTTTTTTTTTAAAAAAAAAAGAAAGGAGTCAAAAAAAGAGTGCAATCGATTCATTTCTATAACAACAACCCAGATGTGAAATCACCCCTGGTACCCTCCCAGAAAAGAAAAAGGAGTGTGAACTGAAAATTTGTACCCAACAACCCAAAGGTCCCAAACATGCAAATTCTCACCCAAAAAAAAAAAAAAATGGAAGAAGAAGAAGCAAAACCAGCCACCAGCATAAAGATCAAACTCATTTTCCCAACCTTCAAACCCCTTTCAACCTCGAAACACCCAAAATCAAATTCCAGCAAACTAAATCCAAAAATCCATCCACATGAAAAGTATTTCCACAACATGCATACAGTACAACAGCTAAGGAATCATATCCAGAAGAAGAAAAGCAAAGATAGAAGCCTTCGAAATTTGGTAAAGTGCAACAGAAAATAACAAATGGGTATTTCCCCTCACCCTCAGCTTGGATTTGTGCATGTCCCCATCATTCTCCACACCCACATCCACACCCACCCACACCCAGAAAAACGGTCTTTTGCTTTCAAAGCTTGCTGCTTTTTTGCTGGGGTTTGGTCAGAAGCTCTTGACACAGAAGCTACAACCGCCGTAAATCATAATTCCTGTCTCAACCCACCCCACCACAAGGCCACAAACCATTACCACACGGTCACACCACCACCTTCCCACCTTCAATTATTATTTGTTTTAATTATTTTAGGATTTTATTCCAGGAAGTGAATATTGAATTGAGTCGAAAAGTTGTCGTGTTCTAGAAATGCGTAATAAATTTTGTTTTTGTAATAAATTTCTTAATCAGAAATGCAGACGTCCTTTTCTCTTTCTCTTCAATATCGTCAGCAGCACCCTTCAATTCACCTGCGCTACGCTGCACAGAACTCCACGCGCTTTCTTCTCGCGTCTCATTTTCTGTCCACTAGTGCATACGGTGAACAGATTTTTTTTGTTTTTGTTTTTTTCTTTATATTCAATAGTGAGAGCTATGATTATCACAACCGCTAATTTTGTCGATATGACTAAGCTGTTTGAACTAATTATTTTGAAACAATTGATAATTGATTGTTAATAATTAACCATGGGTAATAATTAATATTTATAATTTATAATATTTTTATTTTATTAAAATTAATAATTAATAGTTATTTTAAAAAAATTAAAATAAATATTTTTTAAAATTATAAAATTTTATAAGATCTTTATATAAGTAGAATTATTATTACATCTTAAATAATTAATGTTATATTATTTTAACATATTTATTTATTATATTTTCACATGATATATTTTTTAAATTTTAA